GGGGGGGAACCGTAAGTACCCCCCACTCCTGTGACGAGTTAGCACGAATCTGACTACCTTGGCATTCACATTTGAAGGAAGAGAGGAGTACAATACAGTGCTGCCTACTATAGCTGACATTTACGGTGATTAGGCTAATTGTTTGAAATGAGCGTAAAATGACACCTTCAACCAAGGCTACTTAAAAACCACTTGAAGTTTGGTTCAGTGGATCACTTTTCATTACCTGTAAAGCCATCTTATCTTGTGCCTTTTGAAAGGTAAAATTGTTTACTTCTATTTTTTTTTTATTTTGACAACGATGACTTACACTTCCACAATATGTCATTTGTAGCAAGAAGGAAGGACTTTTGACGGGGCATAATCTTAAATATAGTTTTAGTGTAGTGCCCTAGTTTGGAGGTCTCGAAAAGGGTGTACAAGTTGCAACAACGCTAGCTACTTTTCTCTGCACGCCGAATGGGAAAAATGTAGTGAATGCGAATTGAAGAATTATTGCATAACTAAGCAACTCCTCTCTGATGCTTTAGTACCACACAGTTCCGATGTTATCAATCGCCTTGGCTGTCTATTAGGAGTTCTATTGTATCCAGAAGGCGTTGTGAACTCAACAACTCTGCCATCAGGCGTGAAGATTCCTCCCCATATGCCATTCACATCCTCGACACTATCAAATGACTCAAAAGTAGTTCTTTATACTGTATGATTAATAGTAGCCCGCGAGACCATACCTCCATATCGGGCATACGCTATCACTGCGCATTCAGGCCAATAGTGATGCACCTGCCTTTCGCCAATAACCTTGTGTGCACCAATGGGATGCTTACAAATGCGCCTTTATTCACACGATTGGCTGGTGGGGGAATTGCCAGAGAAGCTTGTGTACGCATTTGGTGCGTGGACCAGCCAACGCTCAGGCAACCCAGTGACTCATCATTCTGTTGTGCGTGCAAGAATCCAAGTTTACAATTGCGTCCATTCATACCAACACACACACACACACACACACAAATAGCCGCACACCTTCATAATCACACGCATAGGCACCAACACATATAGCAGTACACAGTCACAGACAGACACACACACACACTCCACGCCCAAATGCAATAAAACTGACAAATCAATGTCTAATTACCTCAACAACAGTGGTAGATGAAGGTCTCAGACAACTAATCGCATTTACCTCTTACTAATAATCCTAAATGATGGCAGAAAGAGCACTCTCACGGGAGGAGGTGTGGCTTCAAGACAGCGAAGCACGTCTCGAGTCAATGGAGATTCTGCTGAAATCTGTTCGTCGAGATATTGATGCCCTGAGTGAAAAACTTCCCTCCCCTCGTTCAGGCGCCCACCGGACCTACCGACAGGGGGAGTCTGTTGTGCACGAATCAGGAAGCAGGGATTATGTACTGCGACTTGACAAAGGACCCAAGGGCTATCAAAATCTTGGCCTTGGATCACACACCATAATGGAGCCATTCGACGATGAGGACGACATCGAAAAGTCCGTGGATGAAACACACCTTCAAAAGTCCTGGCGATCTCCAGCCGATTTTCGATTGACAGACTCACCACCCGATTCACCGAGATTTGGTGAAAGCAGCAAAATAATCTCCCTCAATGATATCATCCTTGACAGTGATGAAACCCTTCCAAGTTCTCAAGAAGTGGAACAGGGCAGAGTTATTCCCCTCCTTGGCAGTCAGCATTCATTGCCTACGATAGAAGAGAACTCACAGGAGGACAACACAGACACCTCCTCCATATCGACTGCGGAGGATTTGAAATCAGCTGACTACTCAGCACCAGCTGTCTGTGGAATGGCTTCGTCTGACACCATCATCAGTCCCTTGCATGGATTGTCGAGGCAGGCAAAATCAAAGTGCTCGCTTGACGAAATTATGAATTCACCGCAAGATCACATTAGGACCGCCCAATCGCTGCTGACTCGATCACGTTCACAGAGTCCCTTCATTCCTCCCAATCCTGACTCCCTTCGATATTCGTGCACTTCTCTACGAAGTCGTGACAGTACAATGAGTGAGACGGACTCCTTTGTCACTGTGAACAGTCAGTTTATTCCCTCGGGCGAGGAGGCCTACGTCACCGCGTGCAGTGACACCGAGGGTTTGGCTGATTCACCCGATGAGGGGAGTATCCCCATCCGTCGAGAGAGGACACGAAAAAAGATGTTGGTTTTACAACAAAATCCCCTCTCCGATTGTCAAAATCAATCTGACGATGTTTTGGAATTTACTCTTGTCGAGGCTACAGTTTGCAAAACACCAATTCCCGAAAACGACGCCTCCTTTCCCAGGAAGATGGGTGAGAAAAGTGCGGAGTTGGTTTATTTTATTTTACTTCTACTTTTTTACTCTCTTTCTTTTGTATTTCAATTCTCTGCTTTCTACTTAACGAGGAATGTGTTGTGTAGACAGTAGGCGCATATTTTTCCCCCAATTTTTTCCCCCTCCCAACTCTGTAGGTAGAAAAATTAGTGCACTCTACTTAGCAAGCAAAGCGTCTACAACTCTGAGTGAAGACACGACGAAAGGTGAACCGAATCAACACTGCCACTACGTCATTGTATAAACAAATTTGGTCCACTGGTGGTAGTCAAAAGTGAGGCTCCGCATACAGTCCAACGCGGTTCCACTAATGGCGAGTGGAAGGGAGTAAAAAAAAAAAACCATTGTTGATCTCTCTTGTTGTGTGAGATGCGAGAAGTGTGTTGCCACCTCAACTGCAGGCCTTAGAGGCATAAAACAAATTTGGAGAGAGAAAATGTAAAGCTAATAATTAAAGGCGTTAAGTTGTACGATCACTTGGAGAACGCATGATTTGGCGGGGTGGACGGTGTTGTCGTCTCAATCCCCTAACCGATTGGCATAGAAGTGGAGTTGGCAGTAATTTGCTGTGCCAACAACTAAACCACTCTCGTTGTACGCAAAAAGGAATTTTAATGGTTTCGAATTTTCGGCCATCCATTTTCTTTCGCCTCCCCCGCCTCTCTTTCACCTCCAGCCAAGGGCTCCACTGGTGAAAAGGTTAATACTGTGCCTCAGGCTAAATGCAACATTCCAATTGTAGAAATGTCTGTGTGTGTAATTTTGGTCCAGCCAAAGGCACAAACTCAACCACCTCTTCATTCACATACCACTTTACAATTTGGTTGATACTTAAATACTTAGGCCACAAATCACACTTTCAAAATGTTGTTGTAAATTTCTGTACTGATTCTACTTAATTCTGGCCTTGACGGTAATTGCGATTGTTCCTTTGATAAGGATAGGTTGAGTCACCGATTGCCTAGAATTGCATTTTTAACCTGAAAATGCAAAACTCTTATCAGTAGGCATTCACTGATGCCTTGAATAGTCATCAAATTCCAGCTATTTGGATTTATTTTCGTTTTTTTTTAAATAGAAGTGAAAGTTCTCTGAATTAGTAGATTTTAATTTGTCTGTCAGGGCAACAACGTTCTATCGAGTTGACCTCTTAAAGGACTTCAGTCAGGTCTCCCAATTACCACTTTTTGACCTTGAAAAACAATTTTGGCTCCAGAGTGTAGAGTCTCAACTATCAAATCGCATTTTTTTGTTGTTTAAACGTTTTTTTATAGCATTACTAATTCAAAAAGGTCACACATAATTTACCATGTCAATCTGCGAACAGAATAGTAAAATAAGTTTGTGAATTGTTGCCCCACTTAGTTTAACTTACTCCACTTCTTTTTAAAATACGCCTTTAAAGGTGCGAATTATCACTCTTTACAAAATAAAAGTTCCTTTTTAGAACTTTATGTGACGAATGTTCTTTAGCCCCAAAGTTTGATGTTGTTGTCAATTAGTGGAAGTGTGGAGGCAGATTTAACTGTGATTAATGCTTCGAAATTACTTCTCCATAAATCAAACGACCTATGGGGTCGTTTGGGAATTATGTGAAACGAAATCTGGATTGAGGTCTCTCTCCCTTTTTCAAGATGTAGAGAGAATGACAGCTACTTCAAAACGCTTATTTTTGCTTGGTTATCTCCTCTGGCTTGTCTCTGTAGTTGTGAGGTTTACATAAGTCGTCTGTTGACTAAGACGACGACAATTGGTGGAAGATTGACAAGCCCTTGTTTTCTAACCCCTCCTCACCTCCTGTGACCCACATCGATGACGTTTGGTGTTAAATGCTATTGGCTTAGAATAGCCTTTGTGAAAAAAAAGGTCCTTCCAACCTGGAGGGTTATCAATGACCTTACTTGCTATCGCATGTCCGGTCACGGTTTTGAACCCTCAGATGCTGCCTTGTGGTCTGGTTATATGCTGGTTTCTGGTTTAGTACGTGCTGGAAATCCTGGCGCCGATCGCCGCCCCCCCCCCCCATCCCCCCTCGCCTTACACCAAACCCCACTTTTCGGCACTAAAATTGCAAATCAGCTCTATGTTTTTGATAAAAATAATGCAGTTGATGGCGTAGTTTTTTTTTTTTGGTTTGTCGATCTTTTTTTAAACACTTAACACCCAAATAGTTGTTTATTCCGCTTGACTGTGGTCCCAGCCTGTGGATTTGTCTCACGAAACTGTATTATTTGGTGCATGCGTATTCTTTTGTGGCCATAATCGTGACTACGGGTCTCTTTTGCCTTCACACTGTGCTCCTCCCTTTTGGATGGTAGTTACAAGCCTTAATCAGTGAAAATTGTAGCGTCTTTGTGAATGGTGAGAGGTCTTCCCTTCATTAAACTGCATAATTGCGTGATGCGACCCTATGGAGATACTTGCGGATTTATCTGTCATCGTTGTATTTTCTGTTTTTTTCTTTTTTTTGTGCGAATTCCCATTTTCCGAGGTTTTTGAAGGCACTGATCTTGGCCGATTTCTAAGTTGGCATTTCGGTCTCTGCCACTTCCCTTCCAAAGGTGAAAGGTCAGCAGCCAGAGTGTTTATTCACCCCTTTTCTGACTAAAATGCAAACCCCCCTCGAGAGGATGCGTGTGTGTGTGCGTGTTTGATAGAAGTTAGACTTTTTTAAAGGTAAACCACCTTGGTAGAACGGTACTGGAGTTTCCGCTGCGGCTAGATTACGTGCAGAGGGCACTGACGTGACCTTTGGGTCACGCCTCGGACCAAAGTAAACACTCACACTTTATTAATGCACTAAATCACCACAACATTAATAAATTTAGAAAGGTAGAGCAACTGTGGTAAGGACGATACCTTCACCTTGTCACTTGTTGAAGCTGTAATTTAGCTCCGCTTCGCTTTTTTTTTCCCCCTCTACTACTGTTCGGGAACATTCCTTTGACATTACCATAACTCCCACCATCGAGGGTGAGAAGAGCCACACTTGGCTGCTACCTGTTTTAACCTGCAGGCAACTTCTTTGCACATAACGTAGCCTTCATTATCAAGTAACTAGGTAACCAGGGCGTCGATATGCTAAACAGGTTTTGCCCTTGGATTGGTGTATACTGTCACCGAGAGCCATTTATTTGGGCAATGCCACACAAAAGCCTCGCTTACTGCTAATGACAGGGACTCGGGCAAAGAACTTGACACTTTTGCCTTACGAGCGTAAAAGTGCTAGCCAAAGGGAGTGGATTAGGTTGTGGGGAGAAGTGATGAGGGATGATTCAGATGCCTGATTCGTGTGACTTGAGCCGGGGAAGATGACGCTTCAATGCCGATGTGTCGGCGGCGCATTAGGCGGAGGGAGGGCACCGAGAAATGCCACTAAAGGTCACATTCCCTCTTTAATCGCTCTATTAAGTGCTTCCTTTTTTTGTTGTTTTTCCCCTTAACACAATTTCATACGAGAAAGTGGTGGCTATTTTGGCACTTCCATCTACTCCCTGTCATTTGCCTTGCCAACAGCGCAAAACATTTATTTTTGGTGAATTGACTACGCATATGCAGAATGCGATTTGTACAAACAGTTGTCTGGCTTTGGGTTAGGACTTTCTTGCCAGGGGGTGGGATAAAAGCTACAGGATTTTTCTTTTGTTGCATCTACAAAAGGCCAGCATCCTTGTCTTTTTTTTTTTTCGTTTTAGGCAATTTCGATGCTCAGCAGGACGCGCCCGTAAAGGTAAATCTTATTTGCCTAATCAGCGGATTAGCTTAGCATTTCTCTCACCAACTGCGGAATTGCTTATTGATATGACATGCATGCTAGTGGTACATGCGTCTCTAAGTGGCTGGCTGTACTGCTAAGCCTCTCATGAATGGCAAGTGATGAGAGTAGGACCTTTCTGGAGTTTAAAAAGGCGCACATTTCGATGTGAAAAGCAATTCCTTTAAGCTCACTCAATACCTGCCATCTGACTTTTTACCGTTTTCTTAAACAGATGTTTTCGATTTTGAGAGGTCTTTTGAGCCACTCTGGTAGGGTGGAGGGACTTAAAAATAGACCCATGAAGATTTTGTAGGGAGAGGCATACCTACTGATTTGTATTTAAGTAGATTAATTGAGTGATTTTATTAGTCTCATCTTATAATCAAAATTTTGCATTGATTGCTGTGATCTCTAGTCTTGTACATGAAATGGACCGGTGTTGCGTGATCTCCTTTCCTTCTTGTGCTATTTTGTTAATAGTTGTGTCACAATGGACAAATATTACATTTACAATCCATTAGAGTTAAAGCTCTCTACACTGACTGCAATGACGAAAATTGTCATGGTGATCGACGGTCGCAGTAGTTGTTGCTAAGGGATGCAATTTTAGAATTTAATATGACTTTGTAAATTATTTTATGGGCTACCAGTGGGAATCTTGGGAAACGTTGCATAGAATGTCCGTCCTTGGTAGAAATAGGCTCAAAGGGAATGTGGAGCGCACCAAATCCGCTGTTAAGTCTGGGAAGTCATAGGGGCACAACGGAAATTGCGTATATAAAGTGTATGGGAAAACGTGAGAGGTTGTTAGTGCAGGTGCCTGGCAGAGGTATACATTTTTGTGATTTTTGTGTTTGCTAAATTATGGTCATAGCTGAACAAAGCAAAACATCCTCCTGACAATTCAGGGTGTTCTCCTTTAATTTCGGGTTTTTATGAGCTTGGAACACGAAGAATGTGTGAAGAATGGCATCATTTAAGTGAGCCGTGATGTGGGGATTCGCAGGCTTAAAATAGCCTAGAGTAATTAAGAATTTGCTTTCTCCTAATGGCTTGAAGTTATCTACCTCATCACCACTTTGCCCTCGATTAACAAAATTCAAGCACGTGAAACTGCTTATTGCTCCACTCTCATGTCTGCCCGCATTGCTTTGACTGGAGTCGATTGTTCATATGGGATGTTGTTTGTTTCTTCCTTACACATTAGAAATAATTGCGAACTAGCAACGGTTGTTTAGACTGAATGACGCTGACAGTGAGCTCGTCACATGAAAAACACTAAAGTTGCTATATATTAAACCCTACTTAAATTAAATAGGTAGTGCGTTATATTATTGAGAAGGTTGATTCTTTGGGAAGTGAAAGTAAGGTTTATCGTGGCGAGATGACGTAGCAACTGAAAAGTACAAAATTTATATACATCGTTGGCGCCTCCTTTCTGGTGCTGCAGAAACACATCAGGCGGCGTGCCCTTCGTAAACAAATGCCAGATGATCTTCCAAGTGATGACGACGAGGGTGACACGTCCTCATCTTCCACCTGTGATGAAGGTGTCTACGACACGGTTGCGGCCAGGCTGGTGGATGTCACCACAAAGTCCAACCATGAAGTTTCACCAACTGCTATTCGACCCGATCGATTCTCTTGTACTGAGGAGGTGAGCCACCTTTCCAACGGCATCGACTCTCCTGATGGTGACGAGGATATTGTAGTTCACTTTAATGATGATGGAGGAGGAGATGAGGCAAGGAGTGTGTATGGTGAGTCCAGGCACAAAATTCAACATCCCAACATTCCAGAGGTAAAAATACCTCACCAATGCAACGCCCTCCTCTCCAACGAGACCTTTGAAACAACCGTTCCCGAGGAAAGTAAGTATCTACATTCAATGAAAAGCTCCTTCAACAATTTAAACCTTTTTGTCGCAATTTTTTCTTTCTACTTTCGTTATTAATGGAAATTCAGCCTGTCTCAGAAGTGTAAACTTGATTTTTTCAACCAATCAGATACGAGCGAGGTATAACCAACCCGTAAGTCACCATTAGCCAATGAGATGCCAAGGCCGTAAATCATGTGCTGCCATTCAGGCGGTCAGGCGTCTGGCGCTTATTAGCAAAAATAGACTAGAGGTGGTGATGTTTACACCTTCAACGTACTTAATTACTTCTACTACCGGATCAGTGGATATACCTGAGGGAAGTTTAAGGTGTCGCAGTTTTCGACACCACGTCTCCGCACTGGATGACGCCAGTCTTGACGATTCAATGAACCATGCACAAATGCGTGGTAAGAAAGTGCACTACACTTCATGCTGTAGCAACAAAGGCGTCCAAATGTTTATGTTTAAGTAGTTTTCTGTGCTATTAGGGATTTGGAAGGCTTTCTGAAGTCCGTCTTGTTTGCTTTATGGGAGACCTTTTGTTAGACAAATTGGACGGATTCCTTAAATTCCTTAACTCCCCAGTAAAATGTTAATGTAGGACTCTGATTTTCCACTTTTTCATGTGCTTCACTCTAGACTTTGTAATTACTGTCACCCAAGCACTGAATGTTGACATTTTTAGGTGTCTGACATTTCCCTGTTTGTGCCAGGACAGCATGACGTCTGATTTCAGTTTGAGCTTGTGTGTTTAACCTTTTGCCCTCACCTTAATGTAATGCTTTGCTGGGAAAGGGGAGGAGAAGGGCGTTTTAAACAAATCCACTGATTATACCACGTCAAATTCCCATGCCGTGCTATTGTCACTGGCTTTATTTGTTCCCCACTGAGGCAGTGCTGAGATGTCACTAGTCTAAGTCAGTTCTAATCCTGTCCCACTTTGAAGAGAATGAAGCTTAGGCAGCAGTGGCTACCTCCATTGTACCGAATCATTCTTACCTGCCAAAGTAACAGATTTAGCCACTCCTCGCGCCTCCTTTTTCCACTTTCCTGTCCTCGAAGGGAGCAGTAAAATGAGGATTTGGAAGTTGTTCAGGCTTGGAGGCGGACACAATCGTCAGTCTTCTCCTAACGAGGGTTAAAGGCAACACCCCAACTTGGCACTCTCTTCTGTACACCTGCCAACTCTTCTGCCACATGAGTGACATTGATCATTCAGCCACCGAATGTGCGCTGTGATTGTACTCACCCTTTTCATCTACAGACATGCAAGAACCCGCTCACATTCCGTCTCAAACGCGAAAAAAAAAAGTTGTCAATAACCTCACTTCAACCTACTTTTGTTACTTTATTGGTGTTGTAAAAAAATATTTTACTCTTTTTTTCCCCCCTTCTCCCTTCCCCATCCGGAGGGTGAGGCTATTTTTACCACCTGGAAGTGCCTGAAGTGAATTTTTCGTGGTCATAAGATAATCGGCTGTGGATTTTATGAGACCGGATTTTGGTGCGCATCCTCTTCCTCCGGGAAGGTGGTTTTCACACAACTAAAGCATTGCGAGGAAGTAAACCAATTGTTTGCGACCAACTCTCTGTCTCAATGTCTTGTTGGGGCAGCTTTCGGTGAAATTGAAATGCCGTCCATTCTTAAAATCTCACTACAATTTTTTTTTTAAACTTCCGTTGTCGAAGTTGGACCACACTTTTCTAAAACGGGCTCAAAATGCAGTCGAAAAGTGAAACATACGAGAATTGACGGGTTTGAAAGTGGTAATGTAAAACCACAGCCTCCTAGGCCTCCTCCAAAGACGAGTGAGACGACGGGTGGTGGGTGGATCGCCTAGCCGCCCTCCAAAAGGGTCTCCCCTTTTTAACAGGCGCTTCTTTTTTTTCCCCTTCACCTTTTACACCAATTTCCAAATAATTCCTTTTACCTTTTGTCCTCATCAAGAGTGACAGGGGCTGTGTTGTGGGGTCACGTCATTGACTTTCCAACTGGCACAGCTAGGCGTCATGACACTCTTGTACTGTAATAACAACGCAATGCCACCGACCGTGCATGAATTATGCAAGGAGAGAGTAGTGCGTAGTCACTGCGTGGTAATAACAACAAAAGCGGAAAAGGCTCATCTACAGAACGCATTCTCACTCTGGGCGAGGCACTTCCGTAACCCTCTGGTTGACTCACACACACAAATACAAAGTCCAAGTCCTTCACCGATTGCATGGATTGCATCGTTGGTTGAATTTGTAAAAGTGTATTACCAGGTGTGGCATTGCTTTAAGACTCAATTCATCTGTCAAAGAGTGGTTTGGTGTCAAAAATGTCATGCGAACAAGAGGGCCAGTGACACCTTTGTATTTGTTATTAAGGCGGCGGGTGCATATTGCACTTTCTTCATTGGTGAGACACCTTCTAAAGTGTCTCTGCTTTTCTTCATTGCATCGCTCCTCCTCCTCCTCCTCCTCCTCCTCCTCCTCGTCCTCCTCGTTCTCCTCCTCCTCCTCCCTGTCTTCCTCGTCCTCCTCCTCCTCCTCGTCCTCCTCCTCCTCCTCCT